TTTATTCTCCTTAGATGAAGTTCATTCTAGCTGTCTTGTTGATACATTTTTGACACTTCGATATATAATATCTTTTTAACAAATAGAAAGACGAGCATATTTCTTGACATCCAAAACTTTCTGCATTTATGTACTTGAGTGTAAAAAATATTTTCTAGAGACGCGCAATGTAGTTCTTATTCTAATTTTGAAGACAAGAATGTCTTTAAGATTCAAATTACTAGCAAGTCAATCTCTCAAGACAACTTTCGTGCAAAAACGCGCTAAGGCCATAGGTAATTTGCATGCGATATGAATTACTAAATAAAAATTTAATTTTAACCTAGTATATAAAGAAAAAAAATGAAAATCAAAACGTCATTTTTTTTCCTTCACCATCTCCCTTCGTATTTTCTCCTTTTGTCACTATCGAAAAATAAATATATTAAGAGCATTGTTGAACTTGTACCTTTTAAATTAAAATGAACCTTTTTTTTGAGTTGTACCTTTGAAATTTAAAAAGATCACTTGAACTTGGGCTTAAATAAAGTCGATTAGGGTTCATGAAACTATTCGCAATCTTTAAGTTCATTGTATTTTATTATTTACAACATTTCTGATATGTGGCCAGATACTTTTTTTATATTTAATGGTGAAAAATGAAATTAATTAAAGTAAAAATCTCATTTTTCCAAGAAAGTAAATAAAATACTCAATTTTCAAAATCACGAGAAAAATAAAAGCATATTGATCTGTGATTTAGAGGTGCGACTCAACCTTAGATGAGTTCAAATCTTGTTAACCCTAATTTGGTTTGAGTCACAGCCCCAATTGAGTGGCCATCTCTTTTTCTGATATTCTAATTCAAGAAACATCAAAGTGCTGGAAAATGGTTTTGAGTGAGCAAATTTGAGCTTATTTAGTGAAATTCAAACCCCGAAATTAACATGATCAAGCATATTTATGTTCTTCTTTGCGAGATTATTAACAAGATATATTTATTTTTCGAAAATCTTTGAGTTTTGAATGATGTATTTGAATTCAAAATTGTCCACTTGAAAACTTTAACAACAATTCCATACGTACAGAACATGTTTCACAGAGATGCAACAGAAGTCTCACATTGTGTAGGCTCGTGTTGTAATAAAAAAAGTTAAAAAATCACCCACCTCCTAGTGCTGTGTCTCTTTTGTGGTGTTTCTGTGTGTACAGTTTCGATATACACGGCATTGCTGAAACTTTAAATAGTGAGAATTTGATTGAATTTGGTTAATATGTCCCAAATAGGAAAACCAGTGGGAAAATGTTTGGTTTATAAGATCATCATTTGGCGTTTGGGTTTAGACCTTGGACGGCCACTCAATTTTGTGAAAAGGAAGATGATCTAGATATCATTGGTTTGAATCACAAATATGCACAAGTGTCAGTGTCGTCGTCGTCGTCCAGTCAGCAGGGTTGTGAGCATCAAATTCTTTTATCTAGGAGATGAAATATTTTTTAATGGTATAATATTTCAAATCACTAGCTTTTTCGCAGACTTCTTAATTGTTAACGACTATAACCAATATGTCAGCTCATTTGAAAGTTATAGTCCATTGTTCGTAAGGAGGCATTTTAGATTGTTTGAATTGCCAAGAACTTCTATAAGTTTCTTGTTTTGTGTCAAAAAAATTAAACCAACAAATTAATGCTAGAGGATGATTAAACTATTTAAATGTAGTTTTTCAATAAATTCTGTTTATGTTTTTTTATTACAAAAACATGAAATTGAGTTCATTGTAACTCTTTCAGGTTGTTGTGTTGTTTTAGTAAGAGAGGAAATATGTTCTATATTGGAAGATGATTGATAATTGCCTTCAAGCACCGTAGAAGAGAGCAAATACATTTTAAGGATACATCATGAATTCATTGAGCTCGAATTATCACCTTATTCCTAATTTTGATCATCTCATTTTTTGTTTCAAGAAGAGTAAGTGTCTTAAGATTGTCGGAAAAAGAAATCCACACTTAAAAAAAATAAAGAAATGTACCATCTGAGGGATTATGTAAGGTCTGGATGTGATAACAAAGTTGACAATATTAACACACCACTTAGAGATCACGCGACTTGGTTTGATTTATAAACTTACAATAACCTCTACTTTATGTGTGTGTGTGTATTAAACTATATAAACAAAAAGAAATTAAAAATTAATATGGTTAGTGAAAACTTTTGAAAATCGAATTGTACCAACTGATTCGACTATATAACCTAAAATTTGTCTCCACGTCGATCCGATTATATGTGAAAACATCTTAATAATAAAAATCATTTAAAACATGCCAAGAATTGGTCGGTTCACCTCCATCGATCCAATCCTTATCTTTTTTTGAATCGATTCATGGATCACTTTTCAAAACATGAATAAACGAGAATTTAAAAATTATACATACATCTCTCCAAACTTTGGATAAAAATAGTAGGTACAACCTGTGTATGCATGTAGAGCCATGTTCTAGCAACCTTTTTATTCTAATATAAAGAGTGAAATGCAAAAGGGTTTTATAGCCAGCCTGTTTGGCTAACTCTTAATATATAAACCTTAATAATGTTAAAGATTGTCGGAGATAAACAACCATTTATGAAGCATGCTTTACTTTATTAAGATAAAAAGGATTAAGTGGCAAATGACAAGATTCGACACCAAAATTAATGTATTTTTTGTACATATATATACTAGAATAATGTTATCCGGCTAAAAAAGATCAAATGGCAAATGATAAGATTCGACACAAAAATTGATGTAGCATCACTGGTATTACACTGTCAGTTTAAGTGGCGCTAAGTGATAGGCTCAAAGAAAGATAAGATTCAGTGATTCATTTACTTATTTTTCTATATTAACAATTCATTAACGCCACATTGACTGGTACTAACAAGAAAATAACTTTAAAAAATTTTAAACTCTTTTTTCTTTTGTATTTTTTAATTATAGTAATTCTTGTGTTTGCTAAATATGCTTAGCCCTGCTTGACCCCATTTTTAAAAATTTATTTTTATTAAAACTCATTTTTAATCACACATTTATATTGGATCCACAAGTTGTATTAATCATTTAATCACACATTTCATCAACTTTTATCAAATTATATTAAAGATCTAATTTATATCTAGACCAAACAAAGGTTTAATTGAAAATCTATTTTTAACAGATCCCAAACAGGGATGTGAATTGACATCCTCCATTTGGAAAAAAAAAAATTACAAATAATTTAATTTATAAATATAATTCTTATTATTTTCGATAAATGTAAATATAAGCCCAATTTTAAATTTGTATATCTCATATGTCATGTATATATACGCATCTAGAGACAAAGAGCACATGGGAAAGGGAGGCGCCGCGTTCCCCGGTGGTGGTGAAAGAAGCATATTTTTTATTTAATTTATTTTTTTTCTTTTAATTTACTGCCACCGGTACACAATTTTAAATGGATCGTTTAGATAATTTTACGGGATCTGTGCACTAATCATGTCTTTTCATTTATTATTAAATTTGTATTTTTAATTTAATTTAATTGAGAAAAAAAGGACCTGCTTTCACTTTGTACAGTTGTACCTTCCACTCACGTGATATGACAATCCAATTCCACCCGAGTTCCGAGGTGACTCAGTTAACTGTCTCACCGGTTTTCGATATATATATATATATATATATATATATTTTTTTTTCCCCTTTCCCCTAAAGTTAATCTTATTGAGATGAATAACTTCTTTTCAGCGTTAATTATTATTTTCATATTTTTGTCGAGTGAGATTTTAATTAGAATGTTTTTTGACCTGCGATTGAGCTCCAGTTTGACTCCCATTAAATTAAATTTCATTTTCCTCTATTCTATTTTTAATCACACAATCCTTCGTAAAATAATATTACACTTAAATCGAATTTTTTTTTTCATTTTCAACAATTCATTCTAAAAAAAAAATGTTATTCCCCCATTTTAATTTGAAAAAATGGAGGCCAAGCGGGAGCTGAATATGATAATTATTATGTGCAATTTAATGTAAAAACAAGTATTAAACATTCATAGTAAACTAATTTCTAAATTGGTGTCAAATAATAATAATTCTATGTGTCTGGTAAAGTGAACTAGATCGCATATAACATTACAAAACTAAAAATAAAATAAAAAATATTGTCCTTTTACGGTTTAATGCCATGCACCAAAGCACGTATTTATTGTTTAGTCACATTTGATCATGGAATTATCTGATATCCATATGCATTATTGCAACCCGATCTAGTTGAAAAAGATTTTTTGTTTTTTTGGAGGGGTGAAATCCTTTAATCTTAGAAAAAAACTAAAATAAATAAATAAAAAAATTTTTCTTTTAATTTTCTAGATATTATAAATAGTAAAACATGCCTAGAGGGTATAAAATTGTGCATTATAAAAGTATTATTCATAACAATTTCGAACCTTAGTTACCGCACGTTCTTCTCCGCATTTCGAGCACATTGTCCTAACATCTTTCACGTCTCTTAATAATGGATGGGCGATACAATAATCTAAAATCTAAGTTGTGAGTTATCCAAACATGAGACGTAGATGCGGATTGGCTTAGCGGTCTACGATTCAAAAGTCGGATAATTATAAGAAATTTTTTTATTCTTCACAAATACGTAATTGACTATATTACTTTAATTTCCTATTCTCTAAAAATAAACAAAATAAAAAAATAAAAAAGTCACATCTTACAATAAAATAAAAAAGAAAATTGCAAATGCAAATGCAAATGCAAAAGCAACAACACAACTTGATCTTGCTCTGGCTCCCAAAAGATTTAGTTTAATAAATTAATAATAATAATAATCGGGATCACCAAAAATAATAATAAATTAAATTCATTTAAATATTCAATTAAACCATACATTACATGGGCACGCCGTTAACAAACGCCGTTTCCTAATAAACGGAAAATGCAACTAATAATCATCTTAAACGTAAACGAAGCACCGTTGTATATAAAAGATTTCTCACCAAAGCTCACTCAGAAGAGGGAAAAAAAAGTGTAGAGAGAGAAGGAATTCATTCTTCTCCAATTCCGTCAAAGAAAAAATCCAGTGTTGTGGGTGTTTGTGAAGTGGGTACTGTGTTGTTTTGATTCAAACTGGGCCTACCTACAATCCGCAAAAGTCACTGTTTGGATCACTTTTATCTTACGCTTTGAAAGTGTTTCCTGAAGAATCTGCAGCTGAATTATTCATTATTTTGTGGTAATTCAGATTCAGTGTGCTGAGACTTTTTTTCTATCGTAGATCTTCTTTGTTGTACTCCATAATTGAAGAATTGTGTTGTTTTCTAAGAGATTACGCGTAATTCAGTTTAATTTCGGTTTGTAGATTCGGCTGAAGAAGTTCGACGGAAGAGAGGAAGATAGTGAAGGTGATTTATAAGGATTTTGCTGCAACGAAGTGAAGTGAACGTAAAATTTCGTGGATTGTTGATAATTGTTCGATTCAAATGTGCCTCCAATCGTGAAATTGGAGGCGGATCTGAACCGCAGTCGAAAAGATAGAAGAATTTTGCGAAATTCATTTGACTCTGCTGCAGATATTTCATCAATTTATTGCAATTTTATCATAAATTCATAATTGAACTTCAATATATATGGAACTGCCTCAGCCCAGGCCTTTAGGAACCGAAGGTAACTAGCATAGTTACCATAAATTCATGGCGTTTGAATTCAGTTTCTGTAAATTATCTCTGCGGAAAAATTGGTTGATTAATTTTAGTACATTTAATTATATGTTGTATATTAAATGTGTTATTACAGATAGGAAGGCAACACATGATTTTCTATCACTGTATTCACCTGTCCAGCAAGATCCACGACCTCCGCAAGGTAAACTATCATTTCAATTCATGCAAAATATTATTAGTATATTTTACACCGAATTATTTCGTAAGAACAATTAATTCAGTGGGGGTAAATAGATTCTTCCAACATAAACAAGAAGATTTTATCTGAGTTATCATATTTTCAAAGGTTTATTAAGATGATATTGCTTTTGGATTACAAAAATTGTTTTGAAAACCGATTTGCTTTTGTAAGTGATTCGTTAAGGCACGACCAATCAATTTGAGAGAGATTTTTGATGGAGTTGGATGGATTTTTTAAATTCCTTTATTGAACTGGATCTTAATTATTTAAGCTTTTCTAGTTCTCCTCCATTTTTTCCCCTACCTTCTCCAAGCACCGTAGCGGTGGCCAAAAGTTTATATTACTAAGACAAAGATTTGAACCCGTGATCTAAAGATTTAGATTTTGCAACGTTTAGCCCCTATTTGACATTCATTAAATGAAAATTTGTTTTTTTTTTTTCAAACTCATTTTTAATCACATATTTACACGTAAATTCAAAATTTTTTCTTACTTTTGAACAACACATTATCCAAAAATCACTATTTCAAAACTCAACTTATCTATTTATTTATTTATTATTATTATTATTTTTTTGAAGAAACTCATCTTAATCGATGTAAAAAAGGAGCTTGGTTTTAATAAATCTTATATATAAGTGTCAAATTATTTGAATATACAATATGTGGGGTGCGGAGTGTTGGTTGATTGTGGGTTGAGAAAGAGGAAAATATCCAAGGCACCCACGAGTGGCTCAGTGAATGTTCCCGTGACCCCAATTTATAAATCTGGGCCATGTCCTTCAGGTGGGGCAGTGTCGTGATAGCCTGACAATTGTACAGTACAAATTGGAAAAGGATTAGAACTTAAAAGTTGGGTTTTTAGTGCATTTGATTCAGCCTATTCTTTGGTAGGACCCAGTTTTCATAGAAAAATTCAGGGATTAAGCTGTTTCTGTTCATCTAAAAAAAAATAAATTCAGATTTTGGTAGGGTAAGAATTAGTGCTTATTTGGTACAGATTTTAAATAAATTAAAATCAATTTTTTGATCGTTATTTTACTATTCCAACCGTCATTTCTGAATTTTTCTCACATATAGGATCCACTTTACCTCTAACAGTTAAAAAATCAATTATTAAAATCCCTATAAAAAAAAAAAACACTTAGTTCTTAGTTCAGAAAAATTAGTCTGACCCAGTTAAATTCCACGAGCGAGAATTAAGACCAAATTCTTAGATAATTAGAAAAAATGATCTTTGATGCAGATAAATGTACAAATCATATATGCAGATAAACAAGGTCAGATGTATATATTGGTTTTTGCTAAATCTGAAATTAATGCAACAAAAACTTCTTCGTTTATTCCATGATGCAAGAATGACTAAGTTTTGTAAATTGGCATTTATTCCCCAGAATAATATAATACATGTCTAATAATACTGAGAAATTGATCAAAGAATTATTTGACATGAATACTAATAAACTTTTGAGCTCAAATCAGAGTGAAGATCTGACGTTATGTTGATAGGAAGGGATTATTTCTTGTGTGATTTTGAAGATTCTGTATTTATTATAAAAATATTGCCATTTGCATTATTTGCTCGAGTCTTCTTACTTCTACAATTCCTATCCGTTTGGTTGGAACATATCTTTCGGTATCTAATGATATGATACAAACGATTAAAGAAGAACATAATATATTGCCAGGTTCATAATTCAGAATTATGCATTTGGAAAATAAGAGTGACTGTCTTAATCTTTCCTCTATTTTTTTCCTTGAGTATGAACAGATGGCTACCTAAAAACACATGACTTCTTACAACCATTGGAGCGTGTTGGGAAGAATTCTACCAAAGAAGAAAGCAAGATTGAAATTACTGCACCAGGTCCTCCTACCTCGGTGGAGCATGTTCTTCCTGGTGGTATTGGGACATATAGCATTTCTTATTTAAATCAAAGAATTTTAAAGCCAGAAGGGAGCATATTCATGGCGCAGGAAAGTAGTACCACAAGAAGTGATGAAAATCAAAACTCCGCTTCTTACACGGGTAGTGGTTTCACGCTGTGGGACGAATCTGCTGTAAAAATGGGACAGACAGGGAAGGAGAATATTGCTACACAGAGACATATCCTGAGAGGTAAATTTACGACTCATCGTCTATAGATATCAAATCTTATAATTAGTATTTAAGTGTTAGTTTAACCTTGAGTGCTGACAATATGGGTTTGACAGAATCAGGTATGAATGGAGTGGGAGGGCAATGGATGACAGTGTTCGAACCTCCATCACAGTCATCTTCCAACTGGAATCACAATTCCAAAACCTTCAGCTCTTTCTTGTCCTCTCAGTAAGGGATTTTTCTGTCAATTTGTGCATGTTACTCTCTTCTTTGATAATCCTTGAGAGTTTTTCATTGACATTTGGAAACTGGTTGTCATTTCTCAGGCCATCATCATCTCAGAAGAAACAGAGTTTCATGAATATGATGACATCAGCAACTAATGACCAAGAAGAGGATGATGACGATGATGACGATGAAGAGTTTGTCGTTAAGAAAGAGTCTACACCTCACCCAAAAGGTCTCTTTACTTATGTATGTGTAGTAATTGTTCTCTCCATACTTCTTTTCCCCCCTTTAGCCTAAATAGCTTATTATATGACAGGTAATTTGACTGTAAAAGCTGAAGGAAAGCCAGTGGATCAAAAGCCTAACACACCACGTTCAAAACACTCAGCAACAGAGCAACGTAGAAGAAGCAAGATTAATGATAGGCATGTTTATCACCCCCTTCATCTATAAGTTCTTATTTGTTCTGTGTATCAAAATAAAAGCCACTCAGTTAAGATAAATTTTGTTGATAGTGTGCGCTTCAGCATTCTGTGTTATCTGATCAAGGAATCTTCCCAATAGGATTTTCATTTGACTATGCATGGAATTGAAATTGAAGATTGCCTTATTGCTGGACCTGAGAAACTCACTTCTCTCATTGTTGAACATTGGCAGAAATATTGTCCTCCTAAGAATGTTGGCCTGTTAGGTTGTAGATATTTCTTTCTCCTCTGGGGATATACTTTATCCATTGTATGTACTTTTGAATCCCGGCTATACTTGTCATCTATTTCTTGGAATTTTCGTTTACAAAAAGGGTTGTGTCCAGAACACATTTAGTAGTATTTTTCAAAATTATTCCAAATCTGGTTGAACTCATCTGTCCTCTGAAAAGTTTCTTGACACTTGTCTAAGGTACACGGAAAATGCTCTGAAGACACAAAATGCATATTAGATGTAGATGCTTGTGTGCGTGTGTATGGATGTACTCAAAAACACCCATCAAGAATTAAATTATATTTTTACGATATTGCATTCGGTGTAATGCAGATTCCAGAGGCTGAGGGAGATTATTCCTAACAGTGACCAAAAGAGAGACAAGGCATCATTCTTACTAGAGGTACCTGGAGATCATAAAACAATATTTCATATTCTAACCTCAAAAGAGAACATATCTTAACTTAAAAATTAAAAATTTGCAATAATTTTGCAGGTCATTGAGCACATTCAGTTTTTACAAGAGAAAGTACACAAATATGAGAGTTCATACAATGTCTGGAACCATGAACCGTCAAAGTTCATGCAATGGGTAAATCTAAAACTCCATGTGGGCCTTAGATTTATTACTTCCAGCTATTGGACACCAGCCTTCTTCTATGTATCTTCTGTGAATAGGAAAAGGGAATACTTGTTGAAGGTTATCAGTGAACAAATTACTTTTCCCAGGTTAAAAAGAAAATGGCATGACCATAATTGGAAAGACATCGAGTTGACTGCATATATTGTTAGCTAACATAAATGTGGGTTTCCATACAACTGTGGGATTTTGAGGCAGTAGCTAGTGTTTAAACTGTAACAAAATATATGTAACTCTGATGTACCGATTATGTGGTACTATTAATGTGCAAGTTACTCTTTTGCTTCAATCTACATTGTTGTATATAATGCTGAATATTCGCAACTGAAATGCCTCGATTAGTAACATCTTAACTTTTTGTGTAACAGAGTAAGTCAAATATAGCTGAAGGTTTCATAGATCACTCACAAGGCATGAACTCGGGGTCTAATTCAGCATCAGTTTTGCCTGCAAAGTTTGATGAGAACAAGACTTCCGTCTCTCCCACCGTCCCAATCAATGGACAAAATCTAGTAGAACTGGAAACAAAAACTGCCACAACTTCCAGAGAAAGGGAGCCTGCGTTAAGAACTAAGACAGGGCCAGTTCCTCCAACAATGCAGCACAACATTTTCTCTTTTGGTAGGACCAGCATTGCAGCATCCCCTGTTTCACCTACACCAGCATACGATGCAGATAAAACTGCATCATTGCCTCAATCTCAGTTTTGGCAGAACAGATCTTGTGTGAACGAATGCACTGTTGCTGATGTTAGGATGAAAAACCAGGAACTGACTATTGAAAGTGGTACAATCAGCATCTCGAGCGTATATTCTCAAAGGTAAGAATTCCTCATTACTGCTTATTCATCAGTTAGGTGTGTGTAATTTGTCCTTTGGAAATGAGGATTTGGTTTACATTTTGTATGCCCAAACGATTTGTTTTCCTTTCTCAATTTAGAACAAGTGCAGTGACTATCCGTCCTTTACAAGAAGCAAGTTAAAGACTAAATTTGCAATAGTAAACCCTATTTTTAACAGCTTAAAATTTTAAATGAGACGGTTCATTATGATATGAGAATGAGTAGATGTTCTATGTTCAACTTTCGTTGCCACCTATTTATGAAAATTTTGCACATGGAAAGACTTTGATGAAAAAAGGGGACTTTGGCGGGTAAGTGAGGGTGTTGAAGACCAAATAAGTTTATCATTTCTCATAGAGTTTAAGCTTTTAGACAAAGGTGGTTTAATATCTGCAATTTAATAGAGATCATATCAAGATTTGTTGATTTTGTCTCCATTTACACCATTCTATTAAACAGGTTGTTGAATACTCTCACACAAGCACTAAATAATTCCGGGGTAGATCTATCACAGGCCAACATCTCAGTACAGATTGATCTTGGGAAAAGAGCATCACTTTCTTCAGCATCCACTCTCAAGGTACTTGAATCCTGTAGTTTAAGTCCGAAACTTTGAACCAGAAAAAATGAAAAAGGAAAAAAGAATTATCAATGTTACAGATTCTCTAGGATATAACTATAATAATCGAACACATTCTCCAGGATGATGATGAGATTCCGACTGGAAACAAAGCCTTGCCACGTTCTAGAGCTGCAACTACAGAGGAGTCTGAACAAGCCCTAAAGAGACTCAAAACTAGCTGAAATTTGATGCTACTTTAACAGTATAGTGATATTATTCTTTTGTAGTATTAATTAATTTTTTTGGGTTCCCGTTTTCCTTTCTAAGGTTCATCAGTGTCCATGTTGACACGGAAACCTGCCTAACAGAAATCTGGAACCCTGTACATCTCTTTTTTTGTTCCACAGTTATGGGATGCTCACATTTCCCAGACAGTTATGTCATCTATTCAACGAATACAGGCTATCCATTCCGATGTTGAGAAGCCATACTTCTCATTTTAAGGTTCTCAATTCATATGAAATTTCTATGACTTCGTGCTATACACATTATTTCTTATGCCCATGCAGGAGATTTTCTCATTTTATTAATGTTTGTTAATGCTGTTAGGACTGGATTTTATCTATAGCATATTTTATCATGTAATGTAAGTAGTTGCATGTAATGTTTGTTAATGTAAGGTGCTCATTCTGAGGTGGCACTAGGTAATGTAAGTAGTTGCTTTGCCGTGATGAGGTGAAATATGTTGGTCCTCCAAATCCGAGCATGGATATTCATATAATGCTTGAACTTGTATTGCTAATGAGGCCTATGTGTCGAGGCAATGTGTGGGTAGAAATCTTCTATGCTGGTAGAGCTTGGGGATGAAGTCCCCGTTTGAGGTTGAGGTGCCTACACTTGATGAAATTGAAGTTGTAGAGTTAGAGTTAGAGTGAGTCCCATGTTCCAGGGATGCCATTCGTTTAGGGAAAACATTTGCTTCAGAGGCACATGTCCCATGTTTGAGGGACGAAACCTTTGAGTGTTGAAAATGTTCTATAGAAGTGAAGTCCCATGTTTCATGGATAAGACCTCTAAAGGTATATGAAACGTTAATGGAGCGGAGAAGTCTCATGTTTTAGGGATAAAACCTTTGAAAGAATACGAAACATTATGACGAACTTACGACTCAGATGTAAGGAGATATTGATTAGGCACATGTCGATGATTTAAAAGTTGCACGTCGTGTTTTTTCAATACACGCATTACGAATGCATTTAATAAGTAATGATGAGCTGCCTTTACGTATTCCATTGCGATATGCCTTTATGAGTGTGTGAACTGTACGACTTCAAACTAAATGTAAATAGACACCATTTTAGTTCAAAGGTTTGGATTGCTTGGACAGAAGAACGTCTCAGATCTTTCTTGATTTGATCCATCTGTTGATGTTAATTGCCTCTACTTATAAAAGGGGTTCTTTGGCCAATTTTCAAGTTTTCTACTTTGCAAAATATGAAAATTGAAACCTAAGCATTTGCATTCTTGTTTAAAGATTTTGACAAGTATTTGTGATTTCGACAAGCAAATTACAACAAGCAGCTCTAGACTTTGTTCAAGTTATGATAATCAAAACATTCCCTTTAGCTAAACATTTGTTTGATTTTCTGCAATTTTCTCCATCTTTTTCCATTTGTTCTTCCTGTTGACATCAAAAAATGTATCTCCAACGTGGCAAATAGATCCCAAAACCTCTCACGTCCAGATAAGCAATATCATTGCACATTAGAACAAACCGTTAGTCACACGTGGCCTTCTCCGGTGGTGGGAAAGTTGGCCACGCGCACTCCGACTGTCAAGTCAGTTTTGAGGAGAAATATATGAGTGTGGGAGGGTTCTTGATGTGAACCTCCAATATATAAAAAGGGGGTCGATATTGCGAGTAAGAGAGAAACATAGAAAGGAAAGTTATAGTATCAAAATCTAAACTTGTATTACCCTTAAATTACACTAAATGTGAGCTTTTATAGTATAAAAATATTGAGTATAGACCGTCGGATGAGAAGACACGTGGTTATATCCTCTTAGACTTAACTTCCCATTATGGACATTAATCAATCACAGTGTATTAATGTTAATGCCAACTTTCCTTCCATAATTTATAGCTTGCGGCAGTTGACTTAACTTGACCAAGTAGGTTGGCTACGGCATCTGTGGCAAGGGGTTGTCACGTCAATCATATCAATAAATCTGATTTGGAAGGTGTTAGGCCAAAGCGCCTCGCCCCTATCTTTGAGGGGTTCGGTTACACATGGGTTTGGTTATGCATCATGGGTTCGGTTATATGTCATGCAGTCGTCCGCAAGTTTTCCCTTCTCTGAGGGGGTTCGGCAGGTCCGCATGCCTGGGCTTAACTCATCCACGTCAGCCCAACGGGACCTAGGTAGGGTCTCTGCTGGAGAACATATAACACTTCTCAAAATCCCGAACTTTCAAGAAATGGCACCCCACTCTGATCCAGGGCTTGGTAGTGGGGGTTGACCTTAGGATGATACGGTCCGAGTATTTAACCAATGTGATGGGAAAGGTGGTTGCGTTTCGGTGATGCAGGAGGGTGCCATTGCCTATAGCATCGAACGGGGGCTAGGAATGGGCTTCAATCATAATGTAGTCGAAATTAGTAGATATCAAGGAAAAATTTACAATGCCCAATACCATAAACCTTCTAGTTCCTGAGCCTGATGATGGGACCTGTTATCTGAGGTCGGATGCATTGTAGTCAGTGAGTCTATTTTTCAAGCCAGTAGCGTCTGCCTTTGTAACCTTTATTTTAGTAAGTGCTTATCTTTTCTAGAAACTTAGCTTCTACCCAACTCAACCCCAATGCATGGAGCTCAAGGGCCTTTCTTTTCTAGAAAGAAGTATCCCTTAGCGAGGGTATGCCTCTCCAACCCATGCCTTGGGTAAGGGGGCAGATTTTAAGGGACGGTATTACATGATCCCAAGGGAAGGTGGCAGACAGCAGACAGGGGAAGGCGATGTGGTTCCGCAACTTATCATGTCGACATAGTACCATGATTGCATAGAAATATAGTGAGTTGATTTCGACTAGATATGATTAACTTGAGAGGCATAAATTGATTAACTTAATGAATTTGATCGAATACAACAATATGAATGAATCTCTAGAGGCAAAATTAAAGGGAATAACTACGATGAAGTCGTGAATCCTAACACTTGTAATATAAAAATCTTAATTATTACTTGCGCTCTATTTAATTACTTTCTTATATTTATAAATTTTTTAAGATTATAATTACATTTTTAATTGTTTTGTGTGAAATTAAAGTTAGTAATAGTTAAATCATAGTTAGTAAATAGTTTTGTGAAAACGATAATTCGAACTCTTAAATCCACTGTATTACTTAAGAACGATATCATATACTTGCAATAGGAATCACCCAGCAAACATGTAAGGACATACACGAGGAAGGCTTGCTAGCTTGGTAAAGAGGGCCACTAAAGCGCACTACGAAGGTAAAGCCTTAAGAATTTTTTTTTTGGTGATGATTCAAGATTTTCCTCCCATTACATTTAGGGAGTTCAAAGATCTAGTCTTCATTTGATTTCTCCTTCTCAACGAGAAATAATTTCTTTGGGGGTTTAAAACAGTGACTCAACATTTAAAAAATTGTTAATCATCGAACTTAGTGCATGTTTGGTTCTATTTTTCATCCCAAAAAATCAATTTTTTTTATCATTACTTCTCCAAGTCAGCTGTCATTTTTTACTTCTTCTCTCAATGGTGAAATCCACTTTTCTCTCTAAAAATCAAAAAATCAATTTCCATAATCACTACTGAACAAGCTTTTAGTGTTTCAATGTCGTTATTGAACTTTTATTTTAAATTAGTCATTGAATTTTTTAGTTTTGTTTTAGTTTGGGTATTTCGTCTACCTACACCTTTTGAAACTAGCAAAATTGTTGATTTTTAAGCATTTTTAAGAGACTCTTTGAATGTAAGATGCTATCTATTTTCGAAATTAGCCTCCAATAGACTCTTTATTTTAACTGTGTACTTATTTAATAATTGAGTAAATATGTAGTCGTACAGTTCAATATTGTTTTAATCTACTTTATCAAATATATCATTACTGCGATGTATATTATAACAAGTAAATAATAACAATAACTGTAAGCATCGATTGAAAGAGGGGACTATTAATGGAATTGCCTAAAGCATGTTTGGCTAACCTTAAATGTTAGTATAAGTTACTTCTTCAAAACAAGCTTGTGTCCACCACTTTTTTCAAAGTTAAAAATAAATAAATAAATTTCTTTTTTTTGAATGTAACTTGTGACCGATTATTAAATTGTTTTGCTTAGCAAATAAAAATTTATTTATTTATTTAAAACTCATATACTTATAAGCAACTTTACTTAAAAATTCACTCATTTTTTGGTTTATCTTATCTTTTTCCTTTTTATTGAATTATATAAGTTATACATACAATATGGTTCCAGAGGAAAAATCTAAATAATCATAACTTATGAGAAAAGATTTTAATAGTTAAATTTCAATGTTGTAAGTGAAGTCGAAGTTAATATAAACGTAAATGTGCAATAATCGACTGTTTAAGTCAAATTTTATAGCCAAAAGTAATATCTCTTTACCATAAACAGGTTCGTGAAATAGGAATTAAGGTTTCTTAAATGTCAAAAAAATTTCAATAAATTTCATGTTTATTTTTGGAAATATAAAAATTCACTTTAAAATAATATCAATTCAAAACATTTTAATACTTCAAAGTGTGTAACATTAACAATTTATTTCTTCATTTTCTATTATATTATATATGTCTCATTATTTGTCTTCACCCAATGACAGATTTTGTTGACTCTTATTACTAATTTAAAATATTTTCTAGATGCAAAAATATAAATATTTGTATAAAAATTAAAATACAAATATATTAGTTGAAAAGGGACAATGTTAACTTGCAATTGAAGAATAATCATTAATTTATTGTGTTCCTTTTTGACCCCTTTGACGTGTTTAGTAAGCAACCATTCCATTAATAATTAACTAATTAATTAATTAAAATTAATTAATGTTATAGGTTTTAGCAAAATAAATATGCTTCTTGGATCATTCAAATGTACAAAAAGCCTTGAATTTTTACACTGAAAAATATGCATTGTTAGACGTTATTGCCTTGGGATCTGCTTCACTCTAAAGAAATCCCATTATCCATAATTGTTTGGTCAAATTATAAAACAAGTAATTTTGTATAAGCTATAAAAAAATAATTATTATAATTGAAAATTTTAAAAAGTGAAATATGTATAGTTTGAGAAATAAAACAATTATGTTATTATTTCATCCCATTCACAATAAAACTGGTAAATTCATCAATTTTGTCCAGGTTGTGCAAAGATATGATGTTTAGCGGGTAAATAAAACAGTTTCTCTGCGATTATTATTATTATTATTATTATTATTATTATTATTATTATTATTATTATTTATTTTTCTAGTCAATCCAAGTATCAATTTTAAAAATATTGGTTTGAACATTACTAAAGAAGAGAAGCATTTAAAAATTCTACAGTATAAGATTAAAGACAATTAAAGAATATACATATAATAATCATATTCAATACCACTGTTATTTAACATCTGTTTATGTGACAGTTGAGTTACTATATTGACTTCATGGGAAAAAAAAAATTCAAAAATACCTTTATTGTAAGGTCACCATTACTCAAAACAGAGGGTAAATAAAGCAATTTTTATGTGATTTTTTTATTATTCATTTTTCGGGTCAATCCAAGGATCAATTTTAAACATATTGGTTTGAACATAATTAAAAAGAGAAGCATATAAAATTCTATAATATAAGATTAAAGACGATTAAAGAATATAAGTAGAATAATCATATTCAATACCTCTATTGTTTAACATCAGTTTATGTGACAGTTGAATTACTATATTAACTTTATGGTAAAAAATTCAAAAATACCTTTATTGTAACATCACCATGACTCATAACACTATGTTATGCTGCACTATTATCACCGCGCCATCACCACTTCATCATCCACTGCTACCACCAAATCTGTATTGTGTACTACCTTAAACTACCACCACAAAATCACCATCGCACCACCATATTAAAGACAATGTTATATGTACCGAATCTTTTACCTATTATTCACAATAAGGGTGGGAACCACATGTTGGCATTTTTAAATTCACGTGGGGCTTGCATACACTGTGGTGGGACCGGGGGGGGGGGGACACCATTCATTACCCCCATTCGATACATATAGAATAATCCCCATACTAAACCACCACCACAAATCTAAACATGGTTGAAGAGGACAAATACTCTGGCATGGCTGCTCCAAACAAATTAGTAATCGAAATCAAATCTTGTTACATCGTCGATCATGGTTACTTCGCCGGAGCACGCAGAAACAAGTGTCAACCGCAAAGGAATTGACCTTTGCAAGGGCTTCTGCCTGTAGACCGGCTTCAGCCCTTCGACAGAAATATGTTATATTCAAATATTTTCATTCAATATGCATATACCATGACCCTATGAAAAAGAAACTTTTGACATTCTTCAATGATGCTCGTTGAACACCTCATAAAACAAAGCATAATTGATTGATTGATGACATGATAGCTTGTTTTATGCACAAGAAAAAGAATCTCATTTAAGCACTTATTAAAATAAATAAGTCATAATCACTTCGCTTTCACCAGAAAATAATTTATATTAAGAAGACACTCTAACAGCCATTTGTTTAGACAACAAAAGTCTACCAAAAACATGCTTCGTGGAATTGTATCTTCCAACAAATAATACTATCAACATTCTTAGAACATAAGATTAGTTGGCTGTCTAATGATCAAAAATTTATATTATTCCATGATCAAATCATACCATACACTAACGATTTATGGGGGAAAAAGGAAAAATAAAAATAAAAAAATAAAAAAAAATTCGAATATATAAATGTATGTTTATGTTCAAGAACTCGGGAACAATCCGAAAATCAAGAAATGAAACACGGGAAAAAGAAGAGAGGAGGAGGACATAAGCTTAACCTTTGTAAATTGATTATTTCCTCTGTATACACGGATGAGTCGATGTAATACTTTGATGGAAGGGTAGCTTCTATACAGGAACTGTACTATTAACTTATATCTAAAAAAGTAAATGTGCACCGGTGGCTTCTTATTCTCTTTGGCTTCCTTAAAGTGCACCACCTCGTCTAACCTTCACCACAGCCTCCTTGAAACAAAATCCTCTTTCACTCGCTATGGCCGAGTCGAGGATTGCTCCATTACACGACTGCAAGTAATATAAGCAATCTACGAGCAACAAGTTTCATATGCTACTCAGTGATTCGTCTTCATCCAACGTTTGCAAACACTCCCATGGATTGGAATAGAAATAATCTTCTTCTTTAGGTCTGTCGAGAATAACTGACCTTTTCGTAGGGTTCCCCATGCGTTCTGCATGAGCATCCTTAACAGCAGTAGAGAACTCATCCCAAGTAAGTGAACCAGTATTATACTGGTCTACTAAATTAACTAGAAGCCTTCTGTCCAACAAAATTGTTTTCTTGTACCCAAGATATCTGGAAACAACAACAATCCGACAAGTACTTAGACGACAACACATAAATACACTGCTATACTTCAAAAATCCATTCAAAGAGTTACTTCCAGATGCCAAGTTGAATTTAATGACGACTATTAATACTCTCTGTTTCTATGCATTTATGTTTCATTAATTACAGAAGAAAACTGAGAAAATATAGTGCAAGATCCTGGAATTTTTATTCTATAATATCTCAGCGCAAGTTCAAGTCCGAATTTATACCTGCGATGGCCTTCAACAACTTTAGCCATATTTCCATCGTATGTAGGAACAAAGATATCGCTCTCCAATGAAACAAGGTAATCGAGTGCAGCCATTTGAGATGAGTAATTCTGAAAGAATCTAAGGTCTGAAGGCTCTAATAGAGTCTCCTTCCGGACCTGTCAAAATGCCAGAAGCACGTGATAAGTACAAGAGCAAGCCACGTTGCATATTAATCTATTAGCCACAGCTTTATCTACTGACCATATTTGGATAAGCTGCTCTAAGACTTGCCATTCTTCTTTCTCTGCCATATATTTCTCCGGCAGCAATGTAAACCTGGATATTATTATCAATGTCTAATGCCCTTAATGTGAGAGCAGTTTCCTCAGGCGTCAAAGGACACAAGCCGTATTTTCTTTTCAAGTCGGAATTTATGATCTTCTCTTTCCACCAGGGGTACGCATATCTGTTGTGACGGAAAAGTTAAGTAGAAGAATAAGACATAATTCAACTGCTAATATACAAGACGATGGAGCATATTTGACTAACCTAAAAATTTACTTAGAACTAAATAAGTTCCAAAAGACACGACTTTTTACTGGTGGAAGTTGAAAATAAGTTCTTTATTTCAACTTCCTTTCCAGAAAAAGTACCTTATTTTCACTTAAAAATAGAAAAAACAAATAAGCCACGCATGTTGGAGATAAAGGCCAACAGGCTCAAAATACCGAGCGATCTAACCTCATTCTTGTTAATTCTTCCGTCTCCTCCTTGTTGCAGCCCTGAGTACAGCCAGAAAAGGCCAACATGTCCATTTCGTATCTGAGATGAAGTACTATGAAAGGACCGTTTTGCCTAAGTATTTTGATGACTTTTCTACCCAATTCTTCTATCTGAGGAGTAAATCTCAAAGCACTAAAGTTTACTCGGCAACGGAGCTTCTGAACCTCCATGGGTTGAGCATTATTGGCAAGCCGAGCATCGGTTCTGTTCAAATGTACAACTTTATACTTCTGAATTAAGGGAAGAATCTGCATGGAATGACAATGAGATATACTTAGGCAAGGAAGCATAAGAGTGTCATAGAAGGAATTAAGGAAACAAGATGAGAAACCTAGTTACCTGATTCTGATAGTAAGAAATATCCGACCAACTAATAGGGGGCATAGTATATATCATTCCTAGCTCGACTCTCCTCTTGACCCTTGGAGGTGGTTCCTTTAATATCCGCACTTCGTCTCTCAAGGAAGTAATGAAATGATCAACATCAAATATGTCATGGAACTCACTGCAATATTTAAGAGAGACTATATTTTAGCATGTAGAAAAAATTAAGTTTACCATTGAGTACTAGAAAAACTTGAATGTATCAGAAGTAGGAAAGCACCTTGGATCGTTCCAAAATGAAGTCTTATCCAGTTCTGGAACTATCAATGTAACATTCAAATGTCTAGCAATTGCAACCATGTCACATATCTGCAGGCAACATAACGAGCAAAAATAGTCAATTCATTAATTTAAGAAGAAGCCGGAAGCTCAAATATGCACGTATGTTTCAATGTACTTATCAATTATCCACTAATAAAAGGAAAAACCTACCGCTGCCCGCATTTGATTGAGCCCTCCGTTGCATGAAACCATCAGATAACCATTGTTCTTGTAAACTCCTACATCAGATAACATGTTTCAATACTTGTACATACATAGAGAATTACGACTGCAAAATATCACATCAAACAAGAAAACAACAAGATGGGGAAAGAAGGCAAGCAACCGACACATATGCAGAATTACAAAACGCACAAACCAACTACATGGAAAACGAAAAGCATCCAAACAATAGGAAGAATCTATTATGTAATTTTTATGATTAATGGTTGAACCTTGGGTTTTGAAAGGTTCTCTTTACAAATTTTCACAGATAAAGAACAAAAGAGCTATGAGCTAAATTAGTATTAACTACACAGCTTCGAAGAAACATGATCTAACAACTCAATTCCAAAAGATTTTAAGCGAATTTGAACATAAGCACTTGCATTTGCAGCTATAAAACATAGAAAGAAACAGCATTTACTAATTACATTATATACAATGAATCAATATAGCAGAATAGTTGAGCCACTCACTCTTTGGAGGTAAAACTCTAGTGGGAAGCTCCGGCGAGGATTTAACATCCAAGGCAGCATCCACTGCCCCGCCCCCACCCGCGGTGGCCGATTCTTGAGAAAAACAAGAGGGCCATCCCTTTAACACTCTAGGCCCCCAAGACTCACCCAGTGCCGTCAACTGAACCAAGCAAGTCCATAGCAAAACCGACGTCGTAGCCCTTATCATCCATAGCTTCATTCTTGACCTTGATACCATTCCACTATTCCTCAACTTCTCCAATCTATCTCCACCAAACGCCGCCGATTTTAACCCCATTGCCCACCTTTTCCTCGTCTTATTACTCTCTATTCTACACATCAATTACACACACTTTAATTCTCCGATTGTGCTTGAAACTTCGTCCTTTTCGTTTTCAAGACCAAATGTACGATCCCAAAATGTATTTCCCTTGTGATTGTGGGGATGGATTTACTCTAGAAAAAATAATGGAATAAAATCTCAAATCTAAACGCAAATGAGCAACTTCTGTGAAGATTTAACACAAGATTTCCGCCCCCTCAATGCAATCACAAACACATTACAAAGAGTATCGAACAAAAATGCTTCGATCTTCAATAATTTCAGGGTCAATCTCGAACTTTCCGGGGTTTTCAAGGCAATAAACGAAAAGGGTCGTAGAAATAATTAGTGGACCGGTCATAGATCCTCCGGAATCGGAGAAAACAGTGACCGGCGGTGAGAGAGAATGCAAGAAAAATGTGGGGATGTGAGAGAGAGATAAAAAGGCAGAGGCGTTGTGGGGTGGTGCAAAATACACACAATCATAGAAACGAGTTGTCGTTGGTACAGTTTGTATACATTTTACATAGCATAGGTATGATGAGTGTGATTGATCCAACCCACCCCCTCTCACCATTGCCATTCCATTTTTAACCATTGTATATGGTCTGGTTAACCCTATATTGAATGTAATCCCATGTGACTATCTCCATCATAATACCAAGACGCCCAATTTTCATTTTTCTTCATGTTTCTATAACTGTGTGTCTGATTAACATTATTTTTCATGAAAAATGCCCTTTTTTTACCCAAAATTTTACTTTTTAGGCATTTGATTGACAATTTATTCCATGAAAAATGTTTTTTAACTTTTGATTACGTGACTATATTTTCTTAAAAATAAGAAAAATATTTTCTTTAGGAAGAGGTGATTTTTATTTTCCAAATGATTTACTCTTTTTCTCTCTCATCTATCTCTTTCATCTATCCATCAATAAAAAATAGACAAATATAATAATTTTTAGGTTAAAAATTAAATTAATCATACTCATTTAATTAATAATTTCAGTTGTCTAGAATTTATTTCCTTTCCAAACAAATTTCATGCTAGCAATCAAAGCCACCCTAAATGTTATTTTAGTTAATAGTGATAGATTTTCAAATCTTGTTAAAGATATGGTTCTGTTTAATTGATGTCGAGATCAAGAGTATGTTGTGATCTATTACGATAGAGTTGAACACTTGAAAAGTGTCTGGTCAACACGAAAGATTCATAGAATGATAACATCAAGCTACACGATTAGATGACTAATTTGAAGTTATCTATGTTGTGAAAATATATTGAATGATATTTGTGTGTGCGACTTTGGCTATTGACTTGCAGGAAGGCGCAAATCGAACGGTTACACTATATTTTATAATTTTTGATTAGTTTTAGATTTTAGTAATATATTTTAAATCAAATTTGATTAAATCTACTAACAAATTACTGATCAAATATCGCAAATTAAGCATTAAGTTAATAGCACCTTCTTGTTTGCATGAACATTCTTGAGATTAAATATCATATCACATCAAATACTTATTAAGCTCGTATTTAGCAGAATTAAAATTTCAATTTTAATTTAAATAAGGTCAATAATTTAATTCTACCACATATTTCATCTAACCCATAACTTTTCAATCCAAACGAAGACTAAATGTTAATATCATAAACTGTAATCTAATATGACTTTTTCATTAATTTGATGTGACTTGAATCATATCGAATGAGTTCGGTTACTCAATGTAGCCAATTTTTATTCAACAAGATTAAGCAAACACGTAGGAAATCCACTAAACGACGTTTATCGTCACGAATTGACAATATTTTTTTTTACCCCTTTGATGATATCTTTTCCACGTTCTTTTTTGTTTATATGGATGATGTTTTAAATAAATATTGAATATTTATAAGGGATTTAGGTCGTTAATTGACTTTGATATTGAATATTTTGTTTGTAATTAGTGTTTGTTTGATAGGAATTTTGATGATTGATTTTTTGATCGTTAGAGATAAGTAAGTCCAATTTATGAGAGAAGAATTCAAAAATAATGGTTAAAATAGTGAAATAACGGTTAAAAAATTAATTTTAATTGGCTTAAAATCGATTACAAACAAGCTCTGAATATTACGATATCAAATACTCATACTATTCTTCGATATCTTTACGAGAAATTTTAATCACCATCAACTCTGATTGGTGAATTTAGAATAAGTTGTACGGTTGCCGTCCACACCGGAACCCCCCAGACAGCCTTAAGTTAAAATCCAAATACAGCCAATTAAATGAGTGCCAGCTAAACTTTGACAGAAGTGGACCCTACGAGTATTAAGTTTTTGTCAGACGTGTCAAAAATCGAGCAATATTAAACTTACACGTGGCGATACGATATGACTGTACAAGAACCTTCATATCGCCAAAGAATATACATACGACCACCGACGCCGACAATTTCGCGTGATATTTTGACCATTCCTACATTAACTACTTTTATGTGAAAGGGAATTGGAAAACTCTATTTTTAACAAAATATTTACTATTTTGGAACGGAAGAACCCCCGTTTGTCTTTCATTATTTGGGTTTATAATGGGAGAGAAAGTATTTTTCGAAAAATGGATGATTGTAAAAGAATGAAAAGTTTTAGATTTATGTATAATATTATCTTATTGAAGATTGTGTGATTGTAAATAGGAGAGAGAGAAATTTAAATTAAATTGAAGAGTTTTAGTGTATAATATTATTTTATTGAAAATTTCGTGGTTGAAAATAGGAGAGATAAAAATTTAAATTAAATTGAAGAGTTTTAAATGGCAGCCAAACGGGGGTGAAATTATGATATAAATGTTTGGCCTATATTGATGGGATAATTAGTATCTAATTAGAAAGAGTAATGTTATTCGTAGTGAAAACTGCCAGTAGTCGTCCTATGTAGCATATACTTGACAATTTGGTATTTGATACATAGATATGATAGTTATTTTTTGAATTATACATCAAATGAAAAACTGTCAAATATACGCCACATAGAACGACTGTCGGTAGTTTTCACTGGAAATAGCATTATTCAATTAGAAAAGGGCGTCATCACGATCATTAAGAAATCGAGTCACGATTCAAATTCTTACTGACTGACTATTTAATGATAATAATTACTAACAATCTATTATCTTTAATTGAGGACCTTCTCACAACCCATCAATGTTAGCATTCTCGTAGTTGAATGACGTATTAAGTCCCCATTGGTAGCAATTTTTGATTTTTTGATCGTTATTCCAGCCTTTATTTTTTACTTCTTCACTCACGGGTGGAACCCACTTTTATTTCTAACGGTCAAAAAAACAATTCTCATAATCACTACCGAACAGACCCTAAACTTTTTTCGAAAATAAGATTCGAAAAACAAGATAAAGAATGCGAAGTCTATGAAAAATGTATTTATTTCGCCTAGAAATTAAAATGCTAGTTCATAATATAACTATGAAGAATCACTTAAGTTCCATAGATTTTACATTAGTATATATTTTGATATTTCGACACATTACACATCGGCGTTTGCCTATTCAATAAGAAAATTTTTATGTATCAAAGTTCTAAAAATGTAATGAGATCGAGACAACCTATCTAAATGTTTCGAACAGTCACAATAATCCAATTAATGGCTACCCATACCCCACCTACCCACCTCTATAGTTTATGAAATTCCAAAAGTACCCTTCCTTAAACCCTCAAACCCCAGCAAAACAAATCATTTTATATCATAGATTAAGCGAATCACTTGAAAAAATTACATTTTTATATATTTTTCTGACTAAGAATAATAATTATGTCAAATCAAATAATTAAAACATACATTAAATTGACAGATCCTGGACATTAATTGATTAAACATATTTTACAAGTTGAAAGAGAGTGACAGCAATTGACAATCCACAGGAATTTGATATTTCCGTTGAACCGCACCGTACCATAAAAGTGTCGGTTGAGTGGTTCGCAAGTGCAAATGGAACGGAACGGAACGGGTTAGAGTGACTCGGACGGAAAATAATCGTATTTGAATTTTTTGGGACCCCACCTACCCAACCCACCAAGGTGCTCTACGAATAGGATGGCAATTGGTTCAAATAGCATCTACTTGATTGGGCTAACTCATTGGATTATGGATCAAGCCAAGTTTGAATATTTGTCAGACGAATAGGGTCGAGCCGAACCTGACAAGTCAAGCAATTGATTTCATGGAACAACCTTATTTCTATTATTTAATTACGTTGAGTTTTAATAAAATTAACTTAGAAGATTATGGTTTACCTAGCCTCAACTTGACCCATTATCCCCAAATATAGAATGTACACCAGCCATGTTAGGGCTTTTTTTTGACTAAATAAGTTCAACAACATAGTTTTTAATAAGGGTAATTGGCAACAACATAGTTTTTAATAAGGGTAATTGGCACACCTTTCATGTTGATTGTTGGAAACATCCATACCTTTAATTTTTTGACGTTTTTGTCCTTATTTCAACGTTTGGTTCCGCAAAGCATCATTTTCCTTATTTTTGAATGTAAAATGACTATTATACCCTCTTATTTAAATTAAAAAATGAAAAAATAAAAGAAAAATAAAGCACAAATTGCAATCATACTCCCAAACCTTTTGAAAAAATATAAATCAGTCCAATAAATTATAAAAACCATCTCTTTCTTCTCTCCTCTCCCTCCCTCCCCTCCTCGTCATCTTCCTCCTCCACCAAAACTCCATCTTCACCTTGGACGCCAGACTAACATACCACCTTGAAACCCTCACTTCCCTCTTTGAAACCCACACAAGCTCTAACCACAACTCCAATTGATTTGGCTGAAAAGATTTTTCCTTGTTTCCCTAAAAACCAAAACATGGCAAATGCTGACACACTATGAAAAACATAGGATTCAGCATTTGATATTGAACTGAAATCTTCAACAACAAATGACATTAAAGAATCATGAATAACAATAACTCTATGTGCAGTAGGTGAGAGAGAAAATCGGCTGGTAGAGCGAATCAAACAAGGGTTGAAGATGTGAAGGGAATTTATTGGAATAATTAGGGTATGGAGGAGTATATTGATATTCCAGATTTGGGAATTCATGGAAATGAACAAGAGAGTCCCGATGGTTGATGATGGTGCGTAGCTTCACCTGGCGATTGTGGGAAGTGGTGGTAGCATAGTGAACGAGTATGTTGTAGGCGATGATGACGCGAGAGAGATGGAGGAATTGGTGAAGATGGCCTTGTGCTGGCAGAGGCACCATCACAACCGCTACTTGGGGATTTTTGAAGCCATTTTGATTCTTCTGGTAGTGATTGGAAGAAAAACAGGCTATCGATCATAAAGTTTTTTTTATGATTTTTCTTGGGCAGCCTATTTTGGTCAGAATGTGGAGTTTTGGTGGTGGAGGAAGAGGGAGAGGAGAGAAGAAAGAGATGATTTTTTTTTAAAATTTTTATAATTTATTGGACTAATTTATATTATTTCAAAACATTTGGGAGTATGATTGTAATTTGTGCTTTATTTTTCTTTCTTGTTTTGGTTTTCTGT